AGGAATCGAACCCAGGGCTTCATGCATGCTAGGCAAGCACCCTACCACTAAGTCACATTCCCAGCCCGGCATGAGTAACATTAATAAAGTTTATAAAATATGTTTTTTCATTTCTTCATTATCATTCAGTAGAACTAGGACTTAAATGAAAAAAAATCCTGAAAATGGTGTAGCTTAAAAGAATAAAAACCATGATAATTTCAGCCTCGAACATCACAGAAAGCTAGTTGGTGAATGATTCAGAAGAAATAATTCACAAACATACAATCATTACCTAAGAAAATAGAGTTAAAATCTTCTCTACTTAAATACAGCCCAGTAACAATTGAGGTAGATATTTGTAACAAATGGGCCCAAATATTTATATTAAATAGACCTGCTCTAAAATCAATACAAGCACAAACAAGAACATCTCAGAATAAAAATGTAATAAGGATGTGAACTGATTGTTCAGCTAAAAAAGAAATGCTAATAAAAGAAAGTATATGAAAAAGAGTGCACCTAATCCATAAAACAATACATTTCCAACTACCTTATGTGTTATGCCAATGAGGGTGTAGTGAAACTTTTACTCATAACTGCTAAAGGCAGAAAAGTTTGTTTTAACACATAAGAAAATCCTTCTAGAATGCCTTACCCCTCAGAAAGTGACTCTCAAACATCCAACCCAATCCAGTTTTAGCCTTCCATGTGTTGGGATTACAAGCATGCACCATCACAACAAACTGGCTTTTCTTTTTAAAGAGTAGTTTTAAATTCCTTGCACAATTGAGATGAAAGTTCATAGCATTTTCAGTGGTTCTCCTGAAGAATCCTAAATCTGGAAATAAGGCCACCAACCCAGTTAAGTAGGGCAAGGAGTATTTATTAGCCACACAGTGACTCTACCCCGCTAATTGGGTAGTGGGGTGCAGTGAGGTCTTTTTCCCATGAGGGTCTTTTAAAGGAAAAAACACATAGGAAGCGGGGGATGGGGATGGGGGGGTGTTTGTCAAGGCAAGCAAGCAGATTTACAGAAGCAAAACATAGCCTTGAGTTGAAGAAGTAGAAGCAAAACAGTCTTGAGCTGGTCAACATGATCAATAGTATTGATACTATTGATATTTGATTACAAAAGTCAAAACATAACCTTGGGTAGGGGTAGCCTATTTTGCAGAAATGACTTTTATTATAAGCTCCTAACTAATACAGCCATAGTACAGCTGGTGATAAGCCTCAAGATTGTCAAGGGACTTCAGCAAAGTTTATGGTAAACTGCAAAGCTGCCAGCTTGGGAAACTTGAGTGAAGGAGAGATGTTCTTCTGCTTTTTAGCAAGGAGGAAAAGGCTTAGGCTGACTACTGGCCATTTGACCTGGAGTTTCTCTCCACAGAGGGGGCCTGCCTTTAATATTTGGCCCCATTTTTAATAATCAATAATTTTGTTCCATTTCTGATTTTACATGTTACAATTCTAGGTATTATATTATTTATAAATGAATTACTAGGGGCTGGGAAGGTGGCTCAGTGGTAGAGCGCTTGCCTTACATGCTCGAGGCCCTGGGTTCGATTCCTCAGCACCACATAAGCAAAAAAGAAAAAAGCCGGAAGTGGTGCTATGGCTCAAGTGGTAGAGTGCTAGCCTTGAGCTGAAGGGCTGAGGGACAGTGCCCAGGCCCAGAGTTCAGGCCCCACGACTGGACCTCCCTCCCCCCCCCAAAAAAAATAAATAAATTACTGTGATCTGCTGGTGCAGGTATTTCACCATTGAAAGTTAAATATAGTAGCTTTGCTTTCTTTAGCTCATCTATAATTAACCGATGTTTTTTTTAACAATTTAAGATTGTTATCATAAAGGCGATGTCCAGAGAGGTTATAGTTACATAAATCACGTGAAGAGTACATTTGGTTTTACACAATGTCAAACTTTCCCTCACATTCTTTCAGTTTTTCCCACCTATCCACAACCACAAGTGGTTTGGTTCATTTTCAACATAGAATTAGTTTAATTTTTGCCCACTTTTTT